GTCCTTTCAGTTAATTACAATTACAGTATCCATATTACCATTCTTTTCCCAAAACTCTGGGGCAGACCTACCGGTATATTAGTCACTATCACTTACCACGGCACAGACAATGATGAGCAGCTTCGAAGTCTGTTGGTAACCGTTGGTAACCATTGGTTGGTTGTTCCAAACTCATAAAAATTACTAAGATCATGTGTGTGCGTGTGTGTGTGTGTTTGTAAGTGAGCCATGATGCTAAATATCCAGCATGTTTTTAAGAATTTTGAGAGTAGTCTAAAATTCTATTGAAATTCTGAGCCTGTTGATCGCCAACTAGTAGTGAAATCATCACAGATCCATTGATTTTGTTTGGATTTTTATAATTTTTTCTGTGTAATGAGTATAGTGTTTGGTGAAAAGAATGGCATATTGCCTGATGTCATAACTTAAGGGAATAGTTGATTGCCAATGAAGTAAAGATGAAAATAGTGGAAAATAAGTGAAAAAACGCATTAAAAAATTTTTTGCATTAAATTGATGCGAAATCATGTAGAAATGTGTTTTAAGAATTATTTTTTCAGTGGATGTTGTCTGCACATGTGTTCTGTGTATCTGGAATGCATTTATTGAGAACCTACCCAACCCACTAAGAATTTGATGAAAAAAATAATTTTTCACATTTTTCCTGATAAAAAATAAAGGGTGCTTACACTAAAATGCCCACAATTTTTTTTCGCGATATTTCCGGCAGAGCAGACCCTCCAATTATTTGTTCTTAGGGTCAAAGTTAACAGAAAAAACACAAATAAAAAGTATGGCAGACCATGTCAGGTTCAACCCATTTTTGAGACTTTGGCTCCCTGACTATAGAGGCTTTTGCATCTGAACTCTTCATATATATATAGACAAACCCAGACTGTGAAAAAAAAAATCTGTGACACAATGATTTTATTGTAGTTTCCACCTTATCTAGCACCTAAATGTTCTCCACATCTAAAAAAAAAAAAAAAAAAAAAAAGATGAAGTACCTGAAACACAGCTTGTGCCCCAGGAAAGCTGCCTCTTAAAACATGAGAAGACAATTCAGTTATTCACAGTTCTTGACCAGAGAACATTCTGTAAGAGGCCATGCAGTGACATTTGCAAATGTGTTTCCTGTAATTGCACAAAACAAAAGGCAAAACAACTTTAGCCACACCGGACTAAAAATAAATATACCGCCTTCATTAATAATCAGCTCATTCTGTGTGAACAAACGATTTTAGTTTAGTTCATAATAATTGGTTTTGTAAGGCCACATTTCAGTCCATATAGCAAAGTATGCAAAGGCGACATGCAGTTTTGCCATACAAATTACAAACATTAACATGTCTAAAAACAAAAGTACATAAATATGATAAATGTGTGTCCTTAAACAGCACATTAACAATCAGTAAATACACAAATAACACCTTTGTTTCTTTAAAACTTTAAATCAGTGACCCTGTTTAATAGCATTCTCACTCACTCCATGCCATACTTCATTTAACTGAGCAATATTGAATCATTTCAAGTTAAAATGAAAGGAAGTATCCTTCATGGTATTTCGGGGGGATGACCACAATGGGCTTGCCATTTCTAGGCCGCCACATTAGAACCTGGGCATCATTGGCATTAGGCTTAAGCAAGGCGTTTGTTGGGATGGGCTCGTTCCTAACTAGGACTTGAGGCTGCTCCTGGATCACTGGCTCCAGAACTGTGGCTCTTTGACCCAGAGGCTTCTTTGGATCCACTTTAATGCAGAGCTGCATCCTCCAGTGGATGGTTCGGAGTAGCACCATTTCAGCTGTAGTTTCGTTCATGGCCACCAGCCAGGTGGTGAAGCGTTGGTCCCTCTGGATGGAGCTTAGGAGAGGGGGACTGCTAGTGGTGCCCACTGGGACACTCCACGTCACACTTGGGCAGAAGTTGTCGTTCATGCTGACAGTGAGTTTGGTGCTTTTCTTAGTTGGGCCCACTATTGTGTATATCTCAGTGGTGCAGCCGTACCAGGGGTAATTCACACCGTCTGAGTCACTGATGGCCTGAATCTGCCCACATCTCAATTCTGGGAGCTCCCAGCTGGATCTAAAAGAGGGAAGATGACACATATTTTTCAGATGTTTTCAAGTTGTTTATATGAAGAGTTCAGATGCAAAAGCCTCTAAATGCCATTTGAAATTTTCTTCTAGAATGATGATTTTTATCAAGCTTGTATATTTAAGTTCAGTGATTTCACTTAAATGGCAATGATAATTACCTATTAATTGTTATTTAAGTGAAATTACTGAACTTAAATATACAAGTTTGAAAAAATCATCATTAAAGAAGAAAATTTCAAATGGCATTTAGAGGCTTTTGCATCTGAACTCTTCATATGATATGCTGAGTGATAAACTCTTACATCAGTGATGTAACTTAAGTATTTAAACCAATTATGTTCCACCCAATCTATGGAATAAAAAAAAAGTTTCAGAATAAGAAATGATTAAGAACTACAAGATATTCTTATTCTTATTATTCAACCATGTAATTGTTAATTTCATAAAGATGTGATTATCTTAGTAGAAATAAAACCTGACTGACATACGCTGGTAAAGGACAAGCCTTTGTCCTTATAGGGGTGTGTTCAACTTTTCTGCTGTTGAGGAAACAATCCCAGGAAGTTGGACCATAAACATCACTAACATCCTGAGAAATAGTTTTACATAGTTCTGCAGCAGCATCATGCCACCTATGAAGAAAGTTTCTGAGATCAATAAGCTCAGTTCATATTTTACTGCACGCAAAAGGCGGGAATGATTTTTTTATTTCAACTATTTTCAAATAGTTCTATGTTTTTAACACAATAATGTGACTAAATGGTATTTATATACAACAATAAAACATAACATGCATTGACTTTTATGCAAAATTATTTTGCAAATTTATAGTTGCAAATTTATTCTCATCTTTGTTTCGCGCTGTCTTACTTTTTTTCACTTGCAAATGAACTGTAAAAAAATAAAAGTCCCAAAAGGGGGTTTTCGTGATGAAGTAGGACAATTTTTGATGCTTTCTGGGAAAACGACCTCTTTTTTTCTCAGTGTGAAGAATATTTAAACGCTCATAAGAACCTTTTTTAAGGTTCTTCATGGAACCATTGATGACAATGATGAACCTTTATTTGTTAAGAGTGTTGACAGTATTCAGTGAATATCCGCCTCTAAATTAGGGATTCATGCACAACAATTTACACATTTTATTATTTTTTTAAAGGTATTGGGGGCCAAAGAAATAAAGGCACTTAAAAGGCAATGGTATTCAGCATATCTATTTATAGTACACAATGAACACACTTACACTCCTTCATTTCCATATATATTGAAGAAATCCATTTGATTGCAAGCCTGGATCCAGCCAACAGTCCAGATCTCTTTGCAAAGCATGGGTGGCACCTGTACCTGAGCTGATGCCCTGAAGTAAGGCGTGCGGTAACGTAAAACCACATTAGATGACTCATCGATGACAGTTGGACTAGGATCAATGGAGGCTTGAAGTTCCAGGACTGTGATGTTCTCATGAAAACTTGGCTTGAGTTTTACACTCTGTACACATCCCATGGTGGAGGCTCTTCAGACTGGCAGCACAAACACCCATCAGCATCCAAATAAAGCAGTTTTATTCATAATGTGAGTAAAAGGGCCCAAGTCTGTGGTCACAGTGCTATGGCATGATCCATGACATGATTCCTGACATGTCAACATACATTATGGATCACTACATATTTCTTGTATGTTCTTGCCACATAGCATTAATAAATCCCAGATCTCTCCCCTCCTTCAGTCGAGCAAAAATAACATAAACCTTACATGTTCATTCTAATGAATTTTAATTAAACCTAATATTTATGGATCTGTTACTATTTTGCGTTGTTCACCATAAAATATATGATGTCAGCTCGTACGTGCCTTTGATTTACCCAGAAATGTCTAAGCACCTGTTAGGCACAGTCCGATAGTGCGGCATTACGACCTGTTACGCTGCGCTCCAGTCAACAGTATTACGCCGTTGAGTCGATCCATTATTCAAAAGGTCCACCAGGATGGCAAAAAGAACACGAAACATAACTTTAAGTTTAAATCCACACAGGCTCCTTACAGCTCGCGCTCCACGCTGCGTCTTCTGGAATAATTTGAGAGTAAAATTTCTAGTGTCAAATCAAATGTCGGTGCCCTTAATTTCCGCGTCATATCTGAGAGATTTAAAGAGCGTGACCAGTCGGGTTACTTTGTGTCGCCCTTGCCCTAGCCTATTAAAGGGTAGTCAGGTTCCTCTGGTGTAATACAATACTTCAGCTGTTAGCTTTTTTTATCCAAGCGGCTTAGAATTAGACTTCCCTTCTTGACGACGTTTTGCATCCTGGGTAGTGTAGTTTAGAGTCAGGGGACTTAAGAGTCAACAGGTTTCAGTCATTTATAGCCTACTCAGTGAGTGAAACCATTCAGCAGCTTTACAGATAAAGCTTTCTAGTTTCCCTGCACAAAATAGTCAAAAAGATAAAAACAAAACTCAACAGTAAAAAAGCAAAGAAAATAGGTGAGAGATATGCAGGGGTATGCGGTTTTTGGTAGAAATGGAGTTCTGATGTCTGTAAAGAGCCTTTTTTGATTCCACAATAGTAGGCTTATGTATAACAATATTTGATTTTATTTAATATGATAGACTTTGAACTCAGTTAAGGCACTGCATTGCATGGGTTTTATATTATATATTTTTGTATTATTTATATTATATAATTTGGTTAAATAAATAATATAGCCGTAATAGTTCCATCTTACACTTTTTTGAAAATAAATAAATAAATAAATAAATAACATTTCCCTATAGCTACAAAACATGTGAATTATCTTATAGTGCAGCATTGACCCGTTGCAATTATTTAGTATTTGCAATAGAAACATCTATCTGTTTATTTATTTGTTTGCATGTTTACAGAGATTTTCTTAGTTGAGTGTAATTTGTTTGCCTAGATTTTCAGCTGTAAGAAGGCAGCATGTGGATGCGTCTCATGTATCCAGGCGGCTGGAATGTCTATTTATAGAGTAACTGGAATAGAAGTCGCAACTCATAGAACAGAGCAAGACATGATCTGGGAATGGACATGGTAGACCGTTCACTGTCTCTCAGTGTGAAGAACAGGACAGTAAAATACATTTAAGGGTGGAAGGGCAGTGGAAAATCAAGATGCCTGTAAACCAGTCTCGATCCAGGGCGAGGGACCGAAACAATGTGCTGAACAGACCCGAGTTTATGTCTCTAAATCAGCCTTTAAAGAGCGCTGGCGCGGAAGCTCGCGGCACTGCGCGGAGGCCGTCGCAGAGACAGCAGCAAAATCAACACCAGCCAGGCGAAAATGCGCAGAACGAGTCACCCGAGAACAATAAAGAAAAGAAGGAATTACCAGAAGAAGACTGCATGCAGCTTAACCCCTCATTCAAAGGCATCGCTATGAACTCTCTTCTGGCCATTGATATTTGTATGTCTAAGCGGCTCGGCGTGTGCGCGCACCCCACATCGTCGTGGGGAAGCGTGCGCTCTATGGTCAAGCTGCTCGCGCTCACTGGCCATGGCATCCCGTGGATCTTCGGTACAATTTTGTGTCTTACAAGAAGCAACACGTTGGCAGGTCAAGAGGTATTGGTCAATTTGCTGCTAGGTGAGTTGTAACGCTTTTCTGATAAGGAGTAAAATACTGACGCTCTGAAGAACGTCCGGATGTGTCACAGTCTAAAAATGTGGGCGGCTATATAAACAACATAGGCTACTATTTTGGTCAAACACATGCTACTGGGATTGAGAAATGTCTTCCTCTAAATCAACCACAGACCTTCTTGTCGAATGTCTTACAGAAAGAGTGATATTGTTGTTAAAGACCTTCATTTACTTAGCCTAAGGATATTTTATTGCCTACTAATTTATACAATTTAAGTAAATATTTGTTTGGATAATTCCAGTGTATGTAATGTTAAATTTATTTGTATTTTTGAAGCTCTGTCTGAAAGATATTTAAATATAATGTAAACGATTTCTGGGATTAAAATGGCATTCAAAAAAAAAAATGTATAATCGAGAATCCTGTTAAGTGCATTTGATTTCGGAATGAATTTGAAACCACATTGTGCTCACATGAAGGGTTTTTAGCAACTTGTGAGGATGCTGTTGGGTATGTAGGTCAGTGGATAAGGGAATACAAGAAAATGTGTTCTGACTGTGACTAGTTCATTGCGTGCACGCTGGCATAAAGACTTTAATTTAATGATATAATTTTTATTATATTTATTATATTATATTATATTATATTATTATTTTTCTATTCCTTTTAGTTCCAAACCCCAAAATGAATATTCTGTCATCAATTATTTTACCCTCATGCCATCCCAGATGTGCATGACTTTATGACTTCAACACATATGAAGATTTGAAGTAAAATATTTCAGCACTGTAGGTTCAATGCAAGTAAACAATGAACAAAACAGTAAAGCTCCAAGAAACTCACAAATACAGTGTTAAAGTCCCGTGAAATCAAAATTGAACCTATTTACTTTGTTAGCGCATATTACTAGTGTTGTGGTGAACAATTAATCCGTGCAAGTGAATATATATTAAAAAAATGTTTTACCTTAGTAAATCTTTAATCAAAATCTGAAAAGTTACTTCCGGTCTGGAACGGTTTCTTTTTCTGATGACGTAGGTTTCACAGTTTGGGTGGGGAAACGCTTAACCACTCCCTCAAACCGTTAGTTTGCTATGAGCGAGAGATGGAGAGGAGGAGCGCTAGAGTAAAACCCTGCCCTCTGTTCAATATAGATACAGTCGGTTGGTCTGGGAACGCCCCGGGAACGCCCCGTCACGTGGTGTGAATTTAGCCCGTGGGGGAAAACATTGCCTTGGCGCTCATTGAAATACATGGGACAATCATGCCGAAGAGTTGCGGTGTCGTTTTCTGTACCACAAATAAACAAACAAATTATAAATTGAAGTTCTACAGCCTTTCTTACATACATACAGAACCGGATAGGAGGACAAAATGGCAAAATTAATCATATCTTATTAGATTACTGTGTGAGTAGAGGTCCGTGTGATATAGTAGTAGATGTTTAACTCGTATTAGGCAGTGGGCCAGATTTGTCTGACGTTACATCCCTTACGAAAAAGAACTATAGTAATCCTATGCTATTAGTATTCTATAGTAGTGTATAATACTTCTGTGATGTTCTTTAATACCTCTATACTTTTAGGCTATGTCCCAAAATACTATAGTATTCCTATAGGATTAACGTTACTATAACATTTTGTCCTAAATACTACAAGATTCCTTTAGTTGTTTTTCATAAGGGATGTTATTAGCGTTATCAGCTGAAGGTTATCAGACAGTCTGTGAGAATTCGGATAACTGTCAGCAAAGTCCCTCTGCAACTTCGTAGCGACTACTAATGATCACCGTTTTACAAAAGGATTAATAGTTTGGAGTGAAGCATACGTACAATTGGTAAGTGACATGGTTTTATGGACTTATAGTAAAAATACGCAAGTTGATTGAGTTACAGGCTTGTGTTGCCGGTAGCTTCCGCGATGTCTTACCTGAAGATTCAACCAGATATAATAGTCTGGAAACGACACCTCCGGCCATTTGTTGGGTCATTGACCCAGTTTTTAATTAAATAAGGGCAATCATAACCTATTACAGTTAATTTTGCAATGTACCGTTGCCGGTCGGCAGGCATAAATGACTCGCAATATGACATTTTTGTCATTCAAATACATAGGATGGTCGCGCTGCTTTCCCCCACACCGACCACGCCCCCCAACTATGACGCGTTGCCGACTGTATCTATTCCGTTTCACTTGGAAATACGTCACAGCACTGGAGAAAAATCGTTTGCAACTTCCGGTTCACGGGGACTTTAAGTTAAGCCGTGCTACTCCAGTGGTTTAATCTGTGTCTCTGAAGTGAATTGAGTCAGTTCGCTGTAAATCTTCATTTTAGCAGTCTTCTTGGCGATCCTGGTTTCAAACTTGATTTGCATAACAAAGCTTTAATAGGGGATTATCACGCTGATACGTAGTACTTCCGGATTCAGTGATCTTTGTGCACTGCCACTTCCGTTGAATTACCGATCTCACTGGCGAACTGATGACAGACTACACTAAGTTTTATTATACGTTGTCCCTGGTAAATTAGTATGATTCACTAAAATGCCGGCTGCAAATAAACGTGCTACCTTGTTTTATTTTATAGTTTTAATCCACTTCTTCCTTATACTCAATTCAGTCGGGAATCCATGAAAACAACCCTCAGTAGGGTTGGCGTTGTTGGTTAGATTTACAAAGTGGAACAGAGCAGTGACATATAGCCTTCGTCTCAGGCATTGTTGAACTGCGTCGGAAGTGGACATGCACAAAGTTGACAAATCCCGCCCATGAAACCCGGAAGCGTGATAATCCCCTATTATCAATTTCGCTTGAGATGTTATTATTATTATGTGGAGATACCAGCCTCCATGGCACTGCTGCATCATATGTAAGCCTCTCCTCCTCAGTGTTAAGATGCGGTCACAACTGTAAATGTTCAGCAAATTTCATGGGTGAAATCACGTCATTTCAATAGGAATCCATACGATATGGAATTTAGCCGGAGTGTGAAATATTTACTCAAGCAGACTTTGCAACAGGTTCAAGATTTCTCAGATTTGCATTGAGCAACAGAAAGCTACTTGGCTTAAGCTGTTTCTGATTTTTCCTCATCCGAAATGGCTTAATCCATCTTTGCTAGTTCTAACATAATGTTTTCGAATTTGTAATGGAGACACATTGGAAACATCTTTTGAACTAGCAATAAGAGATTTGAATCTGAGGTGTAAGAAAGTAGTTCCACACACGAGAGGGGCTTTGAAAAACACATTGGTTTTTCTTTTCTTATTAACATGGATGTCCTTTAAACTGTTTTAAAAAAGCAATTTCATACTCGCAAGTGTGTGTTATCATGATGAGTGCGATTTCTTGTGGCCAAATCCCACCCATGCTATAGCCAAAAATACATTCTTGGGAGTCTGATATTGCTTTAATAACGTACGTTTAACATCAATGCTTTACAGCTCTCTTTCTGGATGTGATGACTGTAGCAGGCATGCAGAAGTTGGTGAAGCGTAAAGGGCCTTGGGAAATGGCACCCAGTTTCCTCGACTACCTGGCCATGGATATTTATTCTTTCCCAGCAGCACATGCAAGCCGAGCAGCCATGGTGTCTAAATTCCTGTTAGCACATTTGGTGCTTGCAGTTCCTCTGCGTATTTTGCTTGTGTTGTGGGCCTTCCTAGCTGGCACATCCCGTGTGTTTCTGGGTCGCCACCATCTGACAGATGTCGGATGTGGCTTTGCCTTGGATTCCTTCATTACAGTTTAGTGGAGATGGTCTGGCTGTCTTCCAACACGTGCCAGACTCTAATATCCATAGGAACATTCAACTGGAGCCCCTCTACTGATCATTTCAGGATTTCAAAAGCCGCTGCATGTTTTTTTTTTTTTTTTTTTTTTTTTCAGATTAAGTGACTTCCGGCTATACTGAAAAGTGCATGACTGAAACATGCACTAAAAAAAACCTTTTCCTAAGCAGCACACATCTATTAGCTTTATTTGAACATTTCTTGTACCATTTCTGCTAAAGCAATATAAAGTTTGGAGAAACGCTTCAGGTGCACAGTTCCCTTTCACTTTAAGAGAAAGGATGTTGATGCAAGACTTTTTTCTTTTTTTTTTACTGTCAACATTGATTAAAGGCCAAATCACTATGTGTGATTTAATATCAATTGGCTAATGGATTTTATTGATCACAGAGCGAAGCATTTGCTCAGGGACTTTATCAAGCAGCATAATAAGTCATTTCAGATTTCTATTTTCTTGGAACTGTATGTGATTTTCTGAATATTTACAATGTATATAAAATGTTGTAAATGAAACCACCATGGACTGTTTTACATGATACCATGGCTAATTTGAGACTTTTTTGGACTGTTTTTTGCTTGTCTGGAGTTTAAATTCAGCTGTCCTGACATTTCACGATACTCTGAATGCATCACATTTATATGAATGAAATTACTGAACATTTCAAGCACATTTTTTTCACTTTTACCAAAATTTGCAATGTTGTTTATATGAAATTTATGTTTTCATGTATGTCTTCAATCACTGCAAGCCCCAGATTTGCCATTTTATATGATTTTCACTCCAATGTTATATGTGTATGGGCCTACCATACATGAAAGAATCCCTTCAATGAATTTGATACCTTCTTGTTGTAATCAAAAGTATTTTAGTGTTGTACAGATTGATTAAAAACATAAATGAAACATAAATCAAACAAGTTGTACTTCTTTTATCAACAGTATATATATTGGTCATGAGTTTAGGTTATTGTGTATATGTGTGAATGCAAGTGAGTGATATCATTAAAGGGGTGGTATAATGCCCCTTTTTACAAGATTTCCCCAAGTGTGTATGTGAAGTTTTAACTCAAAATATCCCACAGATCATTTTTATAGCATGTTAAAATTGCCCTTTTTGAGGGTGAGCAAAAAACATGTAATGTTGTGTGTCCCTTTAAATGCAA